AGTGGAGAAAAGGGTTGGTGGGACGGGGTAAAGAGTGAGGAAGAAACATTTTGGTAGCGCTAGACCAAGGTCCTTTGGGGAGGAGCCCCCGCCAAGTCGTAAATGTAGAAACAGCCACCAACTCTCTCGAAAGAAACTTGACTTGACGCCGACATTGGGTTCAGACGGGAGTTCAGTGGGGAAAGATAGACTGTGGACTATGGGTGATCACAAATGTGGGCGCTGGTGATTATCACTGTACAAGATCGTGACATTCCATATTGCCACAACTGGGCAATCGTATGGCCCTAGAGTGCCTCTACTACAAAGCGCTGATCAATATTACCCAGACCTTCATTGCCTATGTGCTGTACAATTGGACATTTCAGGTCAACAACAGACTTGAACGTGAGGAAGGACTGCAGGCATTGGAACCTTTTAACTCTACCCCGCATGCACGAGAGGTGGCAACTGACTATAAGCGCTTCACACATGAACTTAGCCCATGTCGCTCATTATCTAATTGCTCTAGTAATTGGGTCTACGTCCGTTTTGGAGGTGGGAGCATGTGGCTGTGTGACACGTGAATCGATGAACACTTATAATGCTCCGTCGTTCTACTATTCCTGGGAAATCATCAACACAAGCCCTAAAGCTATCCAATTACTGCGCCTCCGCTTGGCCTTGTCCTCAGTCTTCCACTTCGGTATCGCTTTCCGGCGCCGCTGAAAGCGATGACCCTGAAGTAAAGGAGAACTTTGCAAGAGTCGCGCCCTTCGGGCCCTTCGAAGTAACCGCCGGCGCTGGCTTTGCAGCCTCCAGTTCGAGAAACTCCAGTAGGCCAAGCAGCCTATTTGACGACGCTTGCAATAAGGGTTTCGCCTGGTTCTCTTCCTCTGCATTGCCTCTAATGCCCTTGCCTGTACCAAGTACACTACCCCGTGCCTTGATACCATCCTCCATGGCTTTGTGTAAGCTATTCGTAGGCTTGAAAGAGTCCTGACTCATCATGTACATGAACATCTGCTCGAGGATGAGCGAAACTTTTGCATTAGTTGCAAAACCTTGCGAGGTCGCTTTCAAAGGTAAGAACTTCGTTTCAAGGTGATCTGGTGCAGGATCAGATCGGAAGTAGTCGGGTATTGAGCGGCTAATAAGTGGGAGCAGAAGGTTGGCGAGGAAGGCGATCTTGATGTCATCCGGAAGGGTTGTAGTAGATATTATGATGTGAAAGATGATGGTGGGGAATTGTATAACATCTTCGAGGACGGTGTCAAAGAAGTCGCTGAGGGTTGTGAATTGCATCGGCAGCGATTCGGCAACTCGCGCAAGCTGTGTACTGTTAGTAGGATCTTGGTTAAAAGGGTGATTAGTACTCACTAAAGTGATGAGGCGTTGACGCAGCTCAATTGTATCCTGACCACCGAGTCGCTCACACGCATCATGAACATTACGAATCTTCTCAACACGTACACTTGATTTCGATGTTGCGAGCTCTTCTTCCACACCCGGCTCCTCCAATTTGTCCTCCATATCTTCATCACTGGCATAGTCGCCGATGTTTCCGGTTTCAAAGTCAATCTCACCGACTGGGCCATCTTGGGGTTGCTTTCGCTTTATATCGTATGTCTCCTGCGGCCAAACTTCTGGATAATCCTTTTGAGAATTAGGCGACGCTGTTGCAAGTATAGCCTTGACCATCTTACGCCTCATGCTTCGGTTTGTGGATTCTGATTCACCAACAATGTAGTGCCATATGAGAGACTTTCGCAACGTGACTACCGGGTCTGCGGCATCTTTGCTCTCCTTGACACAGATATCCCAGTCAGCCTCGAGGAAGTCTAGCATGATGCCCAGCCATAGCTTCCACCGATCCCACCGTTTCCTGTGTGTTACCGAGCAATTGAAAGCCCACCCTACAATGTGCCAAAAGTCTTCTGCGTGTCGCCATAGACTCTTCTCATTTGCGGCGGGGCCAGCTAGTCTTTCGACATCGCCGCCAGGTCCTCCGGGTGAGAGGCTATTAGCCTCACTTCTGTATCCTGGTACTCGTCTTCGCGTGCGCTGTTCGGCGAAGGTGAAGGCTTGCCGTATCGTGGGGTATGCGGGGGCGTCGATAGTTGCGTGCACGCATTGTAGATATCTAAATGCGGCGTCTGCGCCTTTTTGCGCATCCGGGGAAAATGCGTGGGTGGTGTAGAAAGGGTCGACCACGAGTGACAAGGCGAAGGCTATGTATGTCGGAGGCGCAAGGGAGCCTATGTAGGGTTGTGCAGGTGTGGAGATGGACGTGCCTGCGGCGAGAAGGCTATGAAGGAACTCGAAGCCACTGGCGACTGTATCAGCGTAAGCTCAGTGTGTATCACAGCATCGGTAGGGGTTGTACCTTTGCCGCCTTCCAGGTAGGCTTTGGCATGGTTGGTGAGCTCATACGACGCCTGTTTGGTGGGCCGCCGCAATGCAAGCCGTGGTCGTGCGCCTATTGCCTCAAGCGCCGCAGATGGTAGAGCCTGGCCATTGAAGCCCGGTGATGGTCTTGACAGCACCGAGCTTTGCATCGTGATGGATCCCGCCGTGGTGTTGATATCTTGCAGCTACTCTTTGGAAGATGTGGTGCCCGGTTACGCGTCACGCGTCGCGTGCTCACGTGTTCACGGTATTACCGGTAGCGCCGTCCAGGCATCCATGGTCAAGCGCATGCCTGCTCTTATGTCATGCCAAGTCAAGTTGGTCGTTTCGTGCAGTTGAATCACCCTACTGGCAACCGAATACATCATGTTTCGACAAAGTAGTGGCAATGCCATGAACCTAGGCGAACCATCTCCGGGTTGTTCAATCCCCTCGTACGCCGCCAAGCTGCCCCTGTTGTGAGGAACTTAGTGACAACACTGCCCAGGTGCCCTTAGGTAGACATCAAGCCGAAACCCTACATCTACGCCACAACAACCCCCTCAACATGGGTCACAGCACTCCCCGCACCATCCTTCCCCATAATCTCCGCCCTCCACAGCTCTTCCCGACTCTCTGTCGTTACAGACGTACTCGGCAACGTTGTTTTGGAGATGCGCGACATTTCACGCGACTCGGTTGCACGCTTGCTGCCTCTAGAAGTCGTATAAGATCGTGCCTCATTAACACCACTGTGATGACCCGCAGGCCTCGTACGCCTACTCCCTTCAGCCGACCTTTTGACCCAGATCGAGCGAATCGCTGGTAGGTTTACAGCTATGATTGCGAGATTGAGCTCGAGCGCAGCCACGATGATGATCTCGCCGATGCCACTGGAGGTGTGGAATAGCGATTGCACGGCGATGAGAGAGTGGAAGCGGATGAGCCCCATGATGACTGCTGCACCGCCAAACGCGAAGACTGATATTACGCCGATCTTTCGACGAATGGGCATTTGGAGCTTCTATAGTACTGGTATGGGGAGTACAAAGATAAATATGTCTAGTAAAGTGTTTTGGTGATGATGTCAGCTTATAGTCGAATCGGGATCTGGATTAGGCACTGGAGCGTACCGCAACACCCGGTCCATGCACACTGAACTGCTGGTTGATGCACTGCGCCTTGATACGCGCCAGTGTATTCCATGCAGCTGATATGGGGAAACATTGGAACACAATGAAGAACATGTTGGTGATCAGCATCCCAATGTTCAACCCATAGCCAACACCCACACATAGCCGGAACTTGCGATTTGGCGACAGGCGCAAGAAGAAGGTCAGGAAGGTGCCTTTGATCAGGAAGTGCATTACGGAATAGTAGACGGACATGACATAGAGATACTGGAGATGATTAGCAACGGCCGTTCACATTGGAGTCGAACTAACTTACTTCCACGAGATCGCCATCGGAAGAAAAGTAGTTGCATCGGTTGGGCTCTTCCCTTTGCGCGTGTCAATTAACTGGAGTCTCATGTTGTTCCCGGATATCTTACCCTCCACAGCCTAAAAGCAGAGCCATTTGCCATATCGCCAGTGCCCCGACGAGTGTCAACTAGAGGTGTGTTAGTTCGAATCATATAAAGCTGCTGATGCATACCCCAGCGATAACGCTCATGTAATCGTCCGCCCGCCATTTGTGAAGAACATAAACGCAGCAATAAACTCTAAGAACACATGATCCAATACCCAGGATGAACGAAGCCCACGTCACAATGTACGCAGCGATTTATAAAGCTGTAGTCATGATAGTCGTGATCGTGATGTTGAAATGCAAGACAGCACATGAATTGCGGTGAATATCGAGTACATGCGCCCAGTCCCATCATACATGTTTGCTCTTTCAGCGCACTGAAAAGTAACAGGCATGGTCACTATGGACAGTTTCGGCTTCACAAAGGTGTCCAGCGTAGTGGTTCGTCGTGGTCTCTCATTGTTCAGATACTGGCTATATTCCACGGATCAGACGTAGAGGTGAGCGATTGCTCAAATGACGATATCCTTAGAAGGCACACCCATGGGGTTTGGGAGCACAATATCATGGTGCTTCTTGGGCCTTCGGTCAGAGCGGGGGATACAGCTTCATGCTTAGGGAGGGGTTGGATGTATGTTTGCACAGTGTCATACTAGTTGTGCACTCGTTGAATCGCCGCAGTTGTAGCGCGAAAGGTCAATAACAATCTAGCGCGGCCCCTGACTAAGCCTTCCATCTGGAAATCGCAACGGTGGCCTGACAGCATTCAATCGACCAACTTACTATTCGCATTCGTGGTAATTCTCAAAAGGCGTCGCAGAGTCGTACTTGTTGTCCTATTATACGTGATTAATCCAGCTTCCACATCTCAGATAATTGGCGTCTTTGTCCAAATCGTAGCGGTAGCGCCAGCTTCGACGCTTCCGGCGCCACTCAAGGGCGCTGCGGGGTAGAGAACCCCCACTTAGCGTTGAGCCGTGGGTACATCGGCCGCCTAGCAGATAAAAACTTTGCTGGGGAAGGACTCACTGTCTTCGATGCTCTGTTGCTCTTGCCGACTATAATATAAACCCATCGTTTTTAGAGTTTGTCATCAACTACAATCCGAATTGGTCTATCGGCTAGGATTGCCCGCTTTCACTTCTTGCTGATATCCGGGCCGGGCCGGGTTCGACTCCCGGATTCGGAATCCGTTCTCTTTTTGCATCTTGTTGTGGTGAGGCGTTTGGTAAAGCTCCAGGCGATATGTTTGGGCGCATTAGCATCCATGAGCATGCACCCATCGTTTTTTGTTTCGCTATTATCAAGAATATCCACTTTGCTATTTTATTGCACTAAATCTTGCCTATATAATAGGTAGGGCTACATATACACATTCTGACGGCCTTCCTTTAGCTGTAACTCTCAACAGCTGACCTGCGTAGACGTGACCAAGAGCCATGAATATGGGCAACGAGTAGATTTCGATCCCTCATGCCGACTTAACAGACAAATCGCCCAAATCACATTATATATACAGTCCAACTAAAGACCTTTAAACTCACCACTTGAGTCTCATTACTGGTATCAGGTAAGATGAGATCACGTCTTTTTCTTCGGTTAGTCAAATACCTCGACCTCTGCTACTACACGTGATCGATCACATTGGTAGGCATGCACACACTGAGCAGTGTGACTAATAGCTTGCAATTAACCCCCCTCGCAATGGATACAGGTATGAAAGCTTAAAATGGGCTTTGCCTCGTTTTCCTTCACCACAACGCACAATCTCTGTCATTCTAAAATTGCATTCGTGGCAAGCAATGGTGTTGCGCTATTCCGCTTGCTTGAAAGAAGACCTGTGCCGACATATGTGTATGATGTGTTCAAGAAATTGCACTCAACAGATTTCAGATGACCGAAGGGGATGTGATTAATCCCTTTTACGAATGCTCAGCAGATGCCGGTAATGAGCTCTGGAGCACATGATGTCATTTACTGAATGGAGAGGTGCCTAAATGTTCAAAAGTGTACGTCGCGCACTCAAGTTATTGCCGGTTGCTTTTTTGGTTTGACGTGTCTTTTCGAGGTCGTGACGCACACAGACCTAACTAAGACATGAACTCGGGAAAGTGTGTTTTGGTCAACATGAAGATCAAGAACCAGCACAAGGGAAGCTAATGGCTTGCTACCTTTTGTTTCGTCTTACAACCCCTATATTTCTAACCGACAGATCCTGACGAGTCCGACCTGTTTCCAACACAATCGTATCGCTTCTTGATCATGCGATCGGCAACTGATTATGCTGTAGTAACAGTTGAACCTATGCAGTGGTAGTGCTCGATGTCCTCGCATCTTAAAGAGCCCTGCGCCCTGACATGGCTCCAAGTGCATTGCGATTCGATACTTCCGGTTCAGGAGCATACGGCGTGCGCCACTTTGAGTGCTCAACTTTTAATCACATGCTAATGTGACCTTGACCTGCGACATTATACTGGGCTAGACTGCCCTCTCTGCACTTAGGTAGAGTAGACGAACTAGAGGCCTTAACCGACCGCGTCCAAGCTGGGCTTCAGGCATACCGATACTCCGGTATCTCCCTTCAATCCTTGCACAGCGAAGTGTCCAGACACATGTCGTAACACTCTTAAACATCCTTCGCCTCGTGCTTGCGATCTTGGCAATAAGAGACTGCAGTGTGGAAAGAGGTTCGCTCAGCCTTGTGATTCAGAATCCAGCCGTGAGTAGGCTTGTGTAGTGCGCCACCCACACGGATGGTGTCCATATGCGTCACAATTGCCGCCTTCCAGCAGCCACAACTCTTTTCGCGCGGCGAGTCGCAAAATCTGATAATGTTGTGGTTTACTGTGCCATGTGGAGACGCGATGAGATGACTCGGAGTGAACGGTCATGTTGTTGGTCAGGGCAACTTTGAGGCTTGCAGTCGCCATGGTGGCTGCCCCAACACAACTGTCTCATCCACAGCACCTGAATCAAGCTTCACCACTCTGCGGCAACTGGCAAGCCTAAATTCACGCTGGAGGAGGTTCCGACCGAGCAAAGTGCGATGATCAGATAAGATTAGATAGTGTCAGCTGCCATGATTTTGCACGGCACAGTTGGCGCTACGTACTCATATAGCAGGCGGTGACAGAGGGCAGTCGCGTATACCTGTTGATCTCTGCCCAATCCTGTACCAAGGGTGCATACCAACACATGTTAATACCATCTGCGTCAAGCCATGGAACAGTTTGCAGAAAGGCCGCATCACGACCGAACAACCGATGTCGTGATTGACTGAAGGAGCCTCAACGGGGTTGAGGACTTCGACGCAACACTCGATGGTACCACAAGCAAAGATGCCAGCAGGAACAACGGCACGGCTCTCACGCAACCCGCACGGTTCCTCTCTCGCGTTCGTTCTCGAAGGGATCCACATCTCAGACGAGACTCGAATTCATGGGCCGTGTAGGATCAATGCTTCTCGGAGACGGCCCTGAATTTGTTCTTTCGGGAGGAGAACCGCCACTGGCAATGTGAGCCAAGTACTTGGCATCACACCTAAGAGCGGGGCGGCATTCGGCCAAGAATGAGCAGGATTCGCAGCAGAAGGGCGAGATTGGATCTTATCTGATCATCTAGCACTTATCTGATCATCGAGCCGCTGCTAAAACCTCTGGGCACATAGTCACACCTGGACGGCGGGAGATGATCCCAAGCCACCGGGCCCAGGAGATGGCAGATTTTTCAAGTCTCCTACCCCGAGGGCCTTCCCTGTCCGGTGTTCGGAGTGTGGGTCGTTGGAGTTTACTTAAACCTGGGACAGGACTGCTGGTGCGGATCGTTACCCATCTGCACCTGAGTCTCCTACCCTGCTTTCCTCGGCAGTTTCCTGGGCTCAACGTCTCATCATGAGCGAAACTCTCCAGACTGACACCGTCCGACCGGCGGAAGGGTTTGGTCGTCCATCCAAAGAAATCGACATTGAGAAGAGCGGTCCTACACCTGCGCTAGACACCCGCGATTCCCACAGCGACAGCGATGCGAAGTCTGTCGAATCTGAACAGTTTCAGAATGGAGTGCAGCGAGTGCGTGCCATCACTGAAATCTGGGACAAGAAGACTTTGGTCTCCATGTTTATCTTGTGAGTTTTGCATTACTGTGACTGCAAAAGCCACATGCTCACAATACCCAGTCTCTACCTGATCGAATTCGTCGCATTCTTGCAAAACGCCATCGATGCTTCGCTCAACCCCTTTATCACGTCAAGCTTCGACAGGCACGGTCTACTTAACGTTGGTTCTGTCATGTCGTCGGCATTGGCTGGCTGCATTCCTCTCGCTACGTCCAAGGTTATCGACGTCTGGGGCCGTGTCGAAGGTTTCTTTGCCATGCTCGTCATTGTTGTCGTCGGTATGGCCTTGAAAGCCGCTTGCAAGAACATGGAAACCTACATCGCTGGTCATGTTCTGTACTGGGCTGGTCATATTGGTGTTCTGTACGTTACGGATGTCATGGCTGCTGACATTACCACCCTGAAGAATCGTATGATCATCTTCACGATCAACGGAACTCCTCGTATTGCTAGTACCTTTGCTGGTCCACGCATCGCAGAGCTCTTCTGGGCTAGCCCTAACTGGCGCTGGGCTTTTGGTACCTTCATCATCATCTTTGTGGCCTGCAGTCTGCCGGCCATGGGCATCATGGTCTACATGTACCGCCAGGCCAAGGCTGCCGGTATGATCAACAGGGTCAAGTCCAACCGAACAGTCCTCCAGTCCCTCTGGTACTACTACGTCCAATTTGATTGTGAGTTTCTTATCCTCCGCCTTGCGTGATGCGGATTACTGATTCATGTGCAGTCACCGGCATCCTTCTGATCATGTTGGCCTTCTGCCTCTTCCTCCTCCCGTTTACACTTCAAACCTACGCCCCCAACGGATGGAACACCGGATACATCATCGCCATGATCATTCTGGGGATTCTGCTGTTCCCCGTATTTGTCTTTTACGAAGCCAAAATTGCCCCGGTCCAGTTCTTGCCGTGGAAATACCTCAAGGATGCCACCATTGTCGGGTCCTGTCTGCTATATGGTGTCATGTTCCTGTCCATTTTCATCTGGAATACGTACTTCTACTCGTATATTCTTGTCGTACACAGGCAAAACATAACGCACGCTGGTTACATCGTCAACTCTTTCTCCCTGGCGTCCTCTACTTTCAGTCCTTTCGTTGCGTGGGTTATTAGCTATACCGGCAACTTCAAGTGGACTGCCTACAGTGGTGTCCCAGTCGTCATCCTCGGAACGGCACTTCTCATTCCTTTCCGAACACCCTCCACTAGCCCTGGTGTCCTCGCCTTGAGTCAAGTCATTGTCGGTCTCGGCACAGGTATCTTCGCCACGTGCGCCCAGCTCGCCGTCATGGTGCCCGTTACGCACCAAGAGATTGCTGCCATTACCGCATTGTGGGGGCTCTTCGGCTCCTTCGGTTCCTCCATTGGTGTCGCTATTGCCGGAGCCATGTGGAACAATCTTCTTCCTCGCGAGCTCTACAACCGTCTTCCTGAGGCTAGCAAGGTGAACGCAACGCTCATCTTTGGTGATATCGAGACACAGATTGCATTCTTGGATGGAACGCCTGAGCGCGATGCAGTTGTTGGTGCGTATAGTTACATCATGCGCAACATGGTTATTGCAGGTGTAGCGCTCGTCCCCTTGTGCTTGGCCAGTATCTTCCTATGGAAGAACATCAACATCAAGAAGTTGGAGGAAGAGAAGGGCAAGCAGACCAAGGGTACGGTCTTCTAGGTTAGTGTATTTCCGTGTTGGATGTAGGATGAAGACGGTTTTGACCGTGTGAAGAGGCCGGTAGACTACCTATGGTAGAGAGTAATTTACCTTTCACCGTTGTTAACGCAGCGCATGGTTCATATGATTCCACACAGTAATGCCGGGTACGTGATCGCTTAATACGTATTCACTTATTGCTTTTGATCCATGTAATGCGAAGATATAAAGCCTAGAGTCGCGCGTGATAACATAGTGATTGCTATGTTTCTGGTATTGCTGCATTGATTTTGCCGCCACTCCAAACATGCTAGAAACGTAGTAATGTATGTAGTTATATGTAATTCAACGCGACACCAGCAGATATTAGTTTGGGTCTATTTTGTTTGCGAATCGTGGTGAAACAAAGCTAACTACCTTTG